CTTGTTGATCAAACTTAATTTTGAACGTTTACATAATAATGGGTAAAGCTGTCGAAACGTAATTTGGAATTTAGTTTTTAACGCTTCTATATGATTCCGCCAAGTCATCTTTTTGTCTAGAATGACACCGAGATACTTAGCGGAGGATTCCCATGGTATACGAAGCCCATTCATTGAAACTTCAGACGGAACGCCGCGACGTCTTTTTGTGAAGTAGATTGCCTGCGTTTTCGAATGGTTATTTTAATTAGCCACCGATCCTCCCAATCTAATACTTCCTCCCTGCACTTTGCAGCCTGTCGTGGACTAGGTCACCAGACCACGACTGAGCCACTAATGCAGTATCGTCAGCATAGAGATAGACTTCACAGTTGCTGGGCTAGGGACGTCATAGATGTACAGTGAGTAAAGGATAGGTCCAAGGACCGAACCCTGAGGGACGCCGGCTGTAATCAGCCGTGTTGTTGACAGGACATTGTCAATTTTATCCGAAATTTCCTACCTACAAGGAAGGATTTCCAGGATTTCCAAAAAGGGAAGCCCTTTTGGATTAGTTTATACAGGAGGCCCGCATGCCACATCTTGTCAAATGCTTTTGAGACATCCAAAAGCAAGATGCCAGTACTTTCGTTAGGGTGAATCCTCTGGTTATGTTCCACCAGCCTAGCCGCCTGTAGCTCTGTACTATGTTCAGACCGGGTGACATGGTGATCTGTCGAGAAATTCTCAAGGTGACGTAGAATCACCTTTTCAGCGAGCTTAGACGGAGCTGACAGCAGGCTAATGGGACGATAATCCTAGGAAATATCGAACCCACTTCTTTGGAATCATTATAACTTCAGCGGTCTTCCACGCGGATGGGAAGTACTGGGTCCTTAGCATGGCATTGACTATTGCCACGGACAAGTTAAGGACTTCCGCGAAAGCAGCTTCAGCGCCTTATTAGTGATTTGATCCTCCCAAGGTGCTTTACGCACTCTAATGTATTTAATATGACCTTGAATCCTGCTGGTGTGCAATGCGGGATGATCTCGGGAGATTCTGCTGATGTGCTAAGCAGATCTTCGATTGAAGAAGCTTCTGAAGATGAATCTTCTGATGAAGAAACGTCATCAACGGTAGCGCTACTGTCACTGACGCCATTGGCCATAAAATATCTCCAGCCAGATCTTACGATGTATTGCTCCTCATCGAGGTCATTATAACGATCATCGTTGGGAGAGGACTGACTTTCCATGGCATCGGCGAAAACCTGAACCTTCTTCTCTGACCTGAAGACAATGCCTCCAGGACCGTGGATGTGCGGGATTTGTTCACGCTTTCCGTTTCTGAGCGACTTCGCTACCTTCGAGAGAGGAATGCTTGAGTCAAGCATCCCCGCCAGAAAGTCGTTCCATTTCTCATTGCGGATTCGGATCATGAAGAGCATTTCTTACTTCATGAATAAGATTCGTCGCTCTGCGAATGTCATCAGGATGACAAGACCTTTTCGGTTGCAGTCCTTTTATCAGAAATTTTCTGGCGAATGTCTGCTGGCAGAAAAGGTCTGCCGTGTCGCTGCACTGGAAGTTGCACGCTGCAGAGCTTGTCCACTTCGCTTGAGCCGCATCTATACCGCTCTCACCATCTATGATCGGAAAATTGGGGAACTCTCTGAGAAGCGGCTTGTATAGCTCCCAATCAATGCGTTTCCTTGGAGGGGTTTCATTCTCTAAGGTCTGCTCTTTACCCACTTCCAAAACGAAGATGATCGCTTGAGATGTCATACATGATTCGAGAAGTGATAAAGTATCTACAGTTTTTGGATAATGCAAAATCAAGAACATCAGGTGCCTGAAGGTGATTAATGGGTGGTGCGTCGGCTCCTCAGTACTATGTATGAGGTAGCCATTTCGTATCACATGGTTGTACAGTCGGATCCCACTGGTGGAATTCACCTGGAATGCCATGCTCGATATTTGCAGTTGAAGTCCCCTGCCACAATAACTGGACCCGAGCAGTCTAAAAGGACTTCCAGATATGCCTCTTGCAGCCTGATACCACACCTGGCATACACCGATGTGATTTTTAATGGCACACTTCCCGTTTCACTAGCACTGAAAGCTGCCACCCCGTCCAGTCAATCTATCAGCCCGGATAACAACGTAATTCGCGAAAGCTAGACGATCTCCCGGATTAAGTGATGTTTTCTGCAGCAAGGCCACATCTATACTTCGTCCAAAAGAGCTTGATGAAATTCCCGTTTCTTGGGAATGTCCCTTAGACCCAAACAATTCCATAAAAGAATTTTGACAAATGCAGGCTGTCGTTTATTGTACCTAGCATTTGTAGGAAAGATCGCCTGCAAAGCTTGTGTTGCGTTAATCAGAGGACTTATGATCTGCTGTAAGAGCCTTAGCGCGGTTGCTAGGTCCACATTTTGCGTGTTCGCAGAAGATCCCACAGAGGGGGCAGCCCAGGTTGCATCCCTAGCTGCATCGGCGTAACTTACATTGCGCCTTTGCGCTATCACTTGCAGATTTTTCCTAGGGGCAAATCTGCAAGTTCGGCTATTCGCAGAGTGCCCCCCTCCACAGTTCGCCGCACTTTCGTTCCTCTTGTTCTGTTTGAGGGCATAATTGGGTCATATGGTCAGAAGCACATTTTAGACACTTAGGTGGTGCAGTGCAGTAAGATTGCGTATGGCCATAATATTTTTGGCAGCGGTGACACTGCCCGATGAGTCTTGAGTTCTTTTGAATATCGACTCGGATAGCCAAACCTAGCAGCTCATGTTCGTTGAACAGCTGCTGAGATTTTTCTATCTTGGGCAGTATGACTACCACCAAAGCAATGGGCGTGCCGCCAATCTTCCTTGATCTCCGTTTCCGAAAGTGTCGCAGGTACTCCTATGATTACAGCATGAATATTCCTCTCCGAGGGTAGAGAGAAAGTGTTCGAATTTGATTTCCCAAAGAAATAAAATTGTGATTTACGCCTCGCCATCTCGAAGCATCGCGAAGAACGATGGGGGTACCACGTACCTTGCGTGGGGGCTGTGCAGTCGTGTCTTCTGATACCTGAGATGTCGAAGGCGAAGAAGTAACCGATAGATTAGGCACAGGCTGTTTATTCGAGTCGCTTGCAGTTGAAACGAGACGTTTCAGACTGCGATTGGTGGTGGAGGAGGAAAGCCTGTCATGTTGGTCTTGTTTCGTCGCGGATTAACCGTGACAAAGCCGTCAAGGAGTGAATCGTCGTCAGTGGAATGATCGCTTGAATTATTTAACGGTCTCTTAAGATTGAAAGCTTTGTCTTTACTAGGATTTTGTTGGAGTGTTTGGGAAGAATGTATAGTATTTAGATGGGAAGGTACCTGGGTTTTCAGTAGAAGGTCTAATTTAACTGTTAGTTCGTCAATTGTCCGCTGCTGGGCTTCGATGATCAACATCATTCTTTCAATGGTCTTCTTATCATCGTCCTTTTTTGACAGCTCCTGTCGAACCATCTCCAATTCGACTGTCAACTCCTCTACGGCCTGCTCCCCTCGACTCCGTCTCGATTGCCATGGTGAAAGCGCCATTTCCTGGCCCCCCTGGGTCAGTTTCCATAGTAAATATCTCAGTTATCTCGCTTTTCGTCTCAAACATTTTTCGGATTGAAATTACGGGACTGCTGCTATTAGTGCCCCATACAGGGCGATTTTGACCGTTACCTTCGAGAGAACAAGGCCTGACAACAGACACGTGACGTTACCACGAGTAGGCCGGCCGGCCGATAGCACGGCGTGTCGTACATCAGCGCTAGTGAATAATATACTAAGTGACATATAAATCCGAACACCCAGTTTAAATGGTTTTATTTTAATAAAAGTTGGTGAATGTATTTATCTTACTGTAAACAACAAGTGAAAAAATTTTCAGCCTTATCAGTTGGACATTCCGGTTTTTATACTGTTTTTTTTTAATTCACTAACGCTCTAAAAATGAATATTTCAGCCGCACTAAAGAATCAACGTTGGCGGATTTTTGGTTCTTGACATCCTTTACGATCGGTTACGATGCCTAGAGTACGGATACCTGTACGATTTCGTCAACTTAGTGAGTTTGATAGGGGCCGTATAGTAGGACTTCGGGAAGCTGGACTTTCTTTTCGGGCAATTGCAGTTAGAGTGCAAAGAAGTGTAGATACTGTGGTTAGGTGTTGTCAGGCCTGGCTTCGAGAAGGCCGTACCGCAAGGGGCACTGGACGCCGCCGTAGAACAACAGACCGTGAAGATCGCCGCCTAAGATTATTGGCCTAAGGGACCGTTTCTCCACTACCAGGTCCATTGCAAATGAATGGTTTGCAGAACACGGAAGACCTATTGGCATGCGAAGTGTTTACCGACGAATGAGAACTTTTGGCTTGTTTTCATACCGGCCACACTGGGTCCTCCCTTTAACTCGAGAACACCGACGTAATCGCCTTGAGTGGTGCAGACAACGGTCACTCTGGGATCAGGAATGGAACAGTATTGTCTTTAGTGACGAGTCTCGATTTTGTTTAGGCATGCACGATGGTGGTGCCAGGGTTAGAAGGCGACGTGGTGAAAGGAGGAATCCACAGTTTTTTGTTGAAAGACATGTTCATCACACTGTTGGAGGTTTTGTTTTGGGGTGCTATAGCTTATGGTTCCAGGTGACCTTTAATCTTCATCAGAGGTAACATGAACGCGCAGCGTTATATCCACGAAGTTCTAGAACCCCATCTTTTACCCTATCTTGACACCCTGGCAGATCCAACTTTCCAACAAGATAATGCCCGACCACATGTTGCAAGAGTCACAATAGACTTCTTTCAACATAATGATGTCACATTGTTACCATGGCCACCAAGATCTCCCGACTTAATCCCCAATTGAGCACGTGTGGGATATGATGGGTAGGAGATTGCTCAATTTGCAACGTCCTCCTCAGACTCTAGAAGCACTTCGAGAGGAGTTGGTGGTTGCCTGGAATGAGATACCACAGGAGGACATTGACCACCTGATCAGAAGCATGCTAGGCGCGTTGAGAATGCGTAGCACATCAGGGTGCATCCACACATTATTAAAGGTCAAGGGGTTTAAAGCAGTGCAATCATTTTGAAATTTTATCATTTACTTATTATGCTTCATTAAGTACTTATACAAAATTTTATTAAAATAAAACCATTTAAACTGGGTGTTCGGATTTATATGTCACTTAGTATATATTGTTATCGCAGCATATCGTCGGCTAAATATGTTAAAACTGCTAACTCCTTTTTGCGAGGCTTACGGAGGAACAAAAAACGATTTTACCACCATTGTCTGCATTTAAACAAGCTGCTATTAAAGAATACTTTTGATGATATTTCGATGGGTTAACAAGAAATAGATAATAATAATAATAATAATAACTGGAGTTGGCATTTGTTCATTTGAATAGAAAATAAGGAATTTTGGAGTTAGCAACTTTTATTTTTAGTGAATATTTATTGTGTGTATTCAAAATTATCAAAAATCTATACTAAAACATCTACAAATTCACAGGTGTGGCAAATTATTATAAAAATGGTGATAGTACGCTGGAATAGTACAGTTAATTTCTTGAAGGTCGGAAATTTTCGCGCAGATATTAGAGTTTTCTCTTTATACAGATGGTCCAACACTGTCCAGGCAATAATGTCAACTTAAGATTTTCTATGCGAAAGTAATTCCCATTCATCAGACAGCCGAAGTTTAGAATAGATGTCCCCTACTGTTACCTACAAATAAAAATTAAACAATTAAATATACCAAGCACTCTTATAATTTAAATGTTTTTATTACTTTTGGTTCTCCTAGCTTATTCCCTGGTCAAATACTTCTGACAGCTCCTAACTTTTTGATTAATCGGGGAGAGTGATCTAAGTACATTACCTCGTAGGGCTTAGGATTTCTTCTAGCTTTTTTGCAGTGGTATGCATAATCTGCAGGGACGTTTAGCCTTACTCGATTTACACAAACGTTCTATGATAGCATGCATGGAATCTACTTGCATTGAGTATGTCCAACCTCTAATATTTATTCTCTAGTGTAATATCATGTTTTCTGCATAAATTTAGAGCTGCGTAGGCCAAAGTCACGTTTCTGTTCTGGTACGTACGACCATCACATTATTATCTTTCGGTCATCTTTGCCCATTGTAGGAATGAGTTTTGTTTGCAAAAATGAGTAGAAACATGGGGAAAATTCTTTTGCGGTCAGTCCACCTTTCTCCTCATGCCAGAAGAAACAATTTGTTGAGCATAATTATCATAAAAGTAAAGGCTGTGAACGCATAATTTTGTCTTCCTATATGAGCTGCTAATATTAGATTTAGGAGACATTAAAACAACTTGAAGATCAAACAGTAAATACGCATTTCTCGTTTTCCACATCCTTTTGTTTTTCTGCTCTTGCCTCATTTTTGTTTAATATATGAGCGTTATACAGATTGTCCGCAAAGTTAGGGTTTTCCTTTATACGACCTGTAGACCTTGAGAAAATAAGCGGATTTTCATATACATCAATGTCCTAAGAGAACCGAGATATTGGGCTCCGCAAACTCAGTCAAACCTGAACCAAACCGAAGACGGTCCTGACCCCCGATCACGTCCACAAGCGCCAGCGTACAGTTATACGACGTATGACTACGATTTAAATACGCTAGTATGCAACCTAACCTAGACACCGGTAGTGTAGGTCAACAAACCATTACATTGGTAACCGATTGTTGTTCAAAAAATAAAAAAAATGGCACACCCATACACCATAGCTAACTCAAGAAGTCAATTTCATTAAAAAAAAAAATAATAAATACTGATGTCTCCCAAATACGCCCAAACGTAATTTAAGAGAAAAGCTGCCACTCCAACATAACGGTAATTTTGTTTACTACAATCCAAAATAAACATCTTTTTACAAAATCAAACTTACCTTTCATCAAAAAGTATCACCGGAACACCAAACTAGTGTCAAACTGTGATATTTAAAAAAGAAGCCACATTTATTCTAGAGCTGAAGAGCGTTTGAGGAGCACACATGCACCTGTCACTTTGTTTTGACTGGAGATAGCAGCATTTCGATGAATAAAGTGTGGGAATCAGTTAGCAGCTTTACTCATCATGGCTTTTCAATTAGTTTTCGTACGAACTTGACAAACATTTAGTTTTGGTATGATAGAAAAGGAGTCATAGTTGTGACATAGATAAATATCACCAAAGTGATGAAAATGGAGTTAGCAGTTTAACGTATTTAGCAGACGATATTTAACATACTCTACCTGATGTAAATGACGGATAATTCAGAAAAGTGTTTTTGGTATGTGAAGGCAACCTGGTGGAAAATATTAAATAAGTTATTAACTATTTTTACTCTGATTCTCACTGATATTCCATCCAACATTACGTGCACAGTTGAGTAATAAGTTGATGTTATAAAGCTATCAGAGCTAAATGAACATTTTTGTCTTTCAAGGATGGTAGGATATAAAGCTTTTAGGGTCAAACCATAACCATGTTTCAATATTTTATGACTTTTGATTTGATACAATGTTTCAAGATATTTAAATGAAGCAACATTTACCTCATGTATTTCAAAATCTGGGTATGTTAAAAATTTGGTCTGGTTTTGGATTCAGCCAATTATTCCGGATATATTTTATAAGGAGCACTGTATCAAAGAGGAACAAAAGGGGACGTTTTTATCCAACGGATGCTGATAAACAATGCCTGCATTACTATCTGGAGAAAAATGTACCATCGCTTTACTATTCAGTGCACTATTATTGTGCATTAACAATCAATTTTTCATATCGGTTTCTTCTGTTTGATATGACTTTGAAAGGTATTTTGGATAATTTGCAAAGATACGTGGAATTACATCTGCATTTAATTTTGGATACTTAAGGGGTACAGTAAGGGTCCTACCTGTCTTTTCGTCACGAAAGGTGGATTCCCAAATAATGCTGTCCTCAGCATAGTGCAAATTGCATGGTGTGGTGTTTTTTGTAATCACTAAATCACTACGAGGGATTGCATTGAGCCATCTTTTGCGACTGTACCTTCGAAAATACGTGTACCTTCGGACCTTCACCGAAATTACCGGCACAATTAGGAACGCAGCACTTGTAAGACGTTTTGAAAACTTAGAGAAACAGTCGCGATCCACAAATATAAGTTTAAAAACAAATAATTTATAGTTTACAAAGCAAAAAAACATACAGAATAGTAGCTCAGAATTTCAGGTTAGTTGGCTGCTAGCTACTTGTTGGATTTTAGCGGGGTCGCAAAGGTTGCCACATATTTCAATTTCGAATGGAATATTAGACTTCAGAGGTGACAGATTGAATGTAATATCGAAAATGTGTTCTTGACATATTGAGGCATATCAGAAAGAATAATCACATCACCATTAAAGCTGCGAAGGCCCCTAGCATATCTTGAAAGATTGCCCACAGAGAGGTACAACTAGTTAGTAGAGATTTCGATACTGCTATATTAAATCTAAATATGTCAACAGCGCAGAGAAATGCTGGTATGGCTCTCTTGCCGGCCAGCATCGCGAAATTCCACAAGAATATGCATAGGCCTACTATGCGTGACGTCACAGTGTTTTCGCAGCCCAGTTGTTTGGCCTTGTTCTCTCGGGGGTAACGGTTTGACTCGAGTGGTCCAGCAGCGTTGTCAGACGGTCGATACTTAGGACAGCGAAGAAACTAGCATTCGCGTTATCAAATGGCTGGAAACTAAGGAGTATGTACTGATTGTTTACGGGTCTGTTTTGGTTGATTTGTTTTTGTTATGCAACCATGGATAGCTGTTTCATGCTATTTGGCAATTATTCAGCATCATGTATGCTTGGTCTCGGTGAATAACGAACGCAAGCCCAGCAACTCTACTCTATTCAGAGTATAAGGTCTATCGAAATGAGACAGCACAAAGTGCGACCTACCACCAGAACCGACCACTGCGAAGTGAAAACTGCAAGCTGCGTGTCGGAATTATATGCCAGTTCTCATTGCTAGCCGGGTGACTACTGTGTCCGCTAGATGCCGTCGATTCTGGTACTATAGTAGATGCGGTTTACTCGCCGTTGAACAAACTAGTAATTTCGTTCGTAAGATCACAGATGGTCAACCATGGATAGCTTTTGCGTACTATTTGGCAACTCTTCAGCATGCTATAGGCTTGATCTTTGTAGACAACGAACGAAACCCGAGCAGCTCTACGAACGAAAGCTATATTACTAGATGTTCAATGGCGAGTACATCGAATCTACCAAAGTTCCAGAACTGGCGGAATCTAACGGCCACAGTAGTCACTCGGTTGACAAAGCGAACCCAAAGTGGTCGACTCTGGCGATACATTGAACTTTATGCTGTCTTATTTCGCTATTCATCATCTCAATTTTCTCGAACTCGTGCTCGAGGAATGTTTGTAGGGAGCTCAAGCATTTTAAATTATAAAACAGACAATGTCGTCAAAAATTTACACAAGATGAAAATAAAAAAAATAATAATTTGTATACATTGAATCATTCACGTTTCATTACAAACAGTGTTTTTATATATCGAAGCAGTCACGCAGGCAGAAGCCTAAATGCCGGGACACCGCGGCTGCAATGATGATCCCAAAGAAATTTTGTTAATTCGATTTTTGAACTGCCTAAAGTTAGTAGGACTAGGGAAAGCTTCCTCTTGTAGATTGTTCCACAATCGGGACAAAGGAGCGGTCGTATCGGCCAGTTCTGGACGTACGATCGCCGACCGCCCTCCGGTGCGAAAGGGTCCCGAGACTGTCTATTAGAGAAGAGCCATCGATCATTCGGACAGCCTCCTCTGGACAGCATCGAGCATAAATAATGTAGTCTGGGTGGCTGCACCCCAAACGTGTGAGCAATACTCTAGGCTAGGCCTTATCTGGGCCTTGTATAGAGTGAGAAGGTCATGCGGAGAAAAGTACTTCTTAGCCCTAAACAAATAGCCTAGCTCTTTCCCAGCAGCTGCCGCTATTGACGAGATGTCTTCGTACCAGATCAGGTCCGACCAACCGAAATGAATGGCTCTTTGGCAGAACTCGGCCATCCATCGAAATCGAATGAGCGCTAGGACGCTTTTGTTCGTCAAGGTACAGTACTGTGTTTTGGAAGCATTAAACTGTGTAAGATTGATGCGTGCCCAAGCAGTGATAACCCCCAGGTTTCTCGTCAGAGGGGAAGTTGTCGCTAGTCTTCTTTTTTCCAGCTCAGTGGCAGAGATCGGCTTGTCACTCTGAATTCCTGCATGTAGAGTGCTGTAATCAGCAAAGCTGTGGATTGGGTTGATCGTGCAGGAAAGGAGGTTGTTGATATGTAAGAGGAACAGTGTCGGAGCCAAAACCAATCCCTGGGGAAAACGCGAGTTGATGTTGTGAGATGAAGAGGAGAACCCGTCAATTACTACGGATATCTTGCGGCCAGAGATAAAGTCAGCCACCTATCTGCAGAGTTTTTCTGAGAGGCCATAGGATGGAAGCTTGCTTAAGAGAAACCATAAGGCCTGTCGCTAATCAAGCCGTGACGTTCGAGGTAGTCCGAAAGCTCGCGATTTATGCACCTTTCCATCACCTTATTTATACCAGAAAGCAGAACTATAGGCCTGTAGTTGCAAGGGTCGGTCTTAGATCCTTCCAGTTTTCTGGGAAGATGCCAGATTCATAAGATATCTGGAAGAGACGCGAAAGAACTGGAGCAAGCTCCTTTACCAGAAGCTTTGTCGATGTCGAGCGACAAGAGCAGTCGTATTACGGTCTTATGCCTGAATGTTACCTTCCGCATAGTGCAGGAAACCCTTTGAATTGACGGTACTTGGGCGTTGGAGGGGGGACGTCCATTGTGAAGTTGGCAGCAAAGATTTTGGCAAGCACTTCCACGTTGGCCTTTGAGTCGGATACAATCGTTCCATCCTGGCACGTAACTGATGGAAGGCTACTGGGGAAGAAGTACTTTTCAATCTGCTTGGCCAGCGTCCAGAAATACCGACTGCTATTGCGATGCGACATTACCTTGTGCCTAACTTTTATATCGTACTGGTGTTTGGCATTGCCTAACCGCTTCGTTATATTTGTTTCTGGGCTCGAAGTCGGATTGTCTGTTCTCTACAGTGGGCCTTTGTAAGAAGGTTCTGTGTGCTTTGATCTTCTGCTGGCGAGCAGTGTCACACGATTTGTTAAACCAGCCATTGGACGCTGGTTTAGGCACTTTCACTGTATGAGGGATGTATTTCTCCATTCCGACGTGGATAATTTCGGTTATCGCAGAACAGACAGCCGACGCATCTGCGTTAGTGAAACAGACATCTCTCCAAGGAAAGGAGTCTCTGAGCCCCTCCCAGTCGGCATGTCCGTAATGCCAAATTTTGCGGGCTGCGCGAGTTCCAGCTGCCACAGCGGGTTCTGACCGAAACCTAACCTCCACAACACCGTGGTCTGACTTACCCAGGGGGGACAGGACAGCAGTGCTGTAAGAGGCAGGATGCGTGGTCAGAAAGAGATCCAGCAGTTTACTGGCATGTGACGAGACGCGGGGGAAAAAGGTAGGGCTCGTCACCAGCTGGGCCAGCCCTTGAGTATGAGCGAACGCTTCAACTGCACGACCTGCTGCATTGGTCTTATTTGAGCCCAACCAAAGCTGATTATGGGCATTGAAATCACCGAGAAGACCCTTACCTAAGGGACTACATCAAACAACAAGCGCAGCTACGTTACAGTCAAGCAGAATCGCATAACAACCCTTTGTTACGCGAGTCAGTAGACTACACAGTCGAGCAAGTTCGCAAGCACACAAGGCCGCGACTCGCACTGTGAACAAAATTAAATCGTGCGACTTTAGGTCCAACCAAAATTATAATTTTCTTCAACAACCAATCCCAAAATTAATTTTAGGATTTTTTTAGCAATGCCAAGGCACCCCTCAAATTGATGCACTTCTTTTTCTTTGCTCTCTCTCATTCCTTCCTTCCTTTCTTCTTCCCTTCTTTCTCCCTGACTTTGTTTGGTATCTGGGCAACCAGACCTGACAGACCTACTGACTTACAAGACTTCAACCAAGAGCAAAGGTCCTACGGACCGCTCTGACAGACAATGACGAATAGTATCACCGAGAAGAACTACCTAGCGGGGTGACTGATGTTCAGGAAGTCTATCTTGACGGCGAGGTATTCAAGTAGGTCATTCCAGTTATGGTCCAAGGGAGAGCGATAAAGGCAGCAAATAAATTTGGAGGATGTTTTGGAGTTGAGGCGAAGCCACATAATATCTGGAGCATTTATTTGTTTTGGAAGATAACGGACTGCATAGCTTAGGTGTGTAAATATATATCATTTATAAGACACCCTGGGAAAATCTAGCGGGTGGTACCGGCTCGGTCGACTGGTCCTTGTCTACCACCTCATTTTTACCAGCTAATGATATTAAATAGACCCAAAGTGGCCCGTTGGCGGACTTGGCAATCGGTACTGAGGTATTCCTTAACGCGTGTACAGTCACTTGAACGGGAAGAAGTTGTATACTGTACCCAGTAGGGGTAAGTTTCAGTATCAAAACTCGGACTTTGTCGATGATTTCTAGTACTGGGTATGGATTCACATTCAGAAAATCCAGGCATAGTTAAAGTTTTATTTCCATCGGAATTATATCCGAACAAATTGTATCTGTGTATAGGTGAACATCACATACCATATGTATATACAAAGTATGTTATCCTCTGCATCACACATGGCCTTCAATGGATATCGATAGGATCGAATCACTTCTAGTTGACTAATTTTCACGCAACTGCGCTCCTGAAAACCCGCCAACAAATGATTATAGGTGTGTATCGATCGCTGTCAACGGTGTACTGGCCATTTCATGCAAATATTTTTTTACAGAAAAAAGCTGGAAACATCTGCCTGGCTGCCGCCATCGAATGTTATCAATGAAGCTGTTGTCTGCATTTCGAGGTATCGAAAAGAATGGTTATATGGATGTTATTCTATCGATAACAATATTGTTTTTCACACATTATCGATCTGTTATTATGATAGCATGAATTTCCATAATGACATACTACCTAAATCACGAAAACCTGTGTAACTCATATGTCTATCTAATTGTTAGTCAAAGGGTCTATTAACATTTTTCAAGTAGTGGACGATTTTTTTACAATTTTTGGGCTGTACATAGGTATGTGTTAGTCAATTTTCATACTTGTGGGCATGATGCGACAAATAATATGGAACGTCATCGATTTTTTACAAGTGTACTGCCGCACTAGGCGCAGGGGGGGTATTTGCACCTAATATCACATCCAGGGAAAGGCGTCAACATTTGGACCATCTGATTTATTTGTACAGATATATCAATGACGGATTCTAAAAAAGCTATTGTATCATAACATATCATATAGTATGGCCATATCCAAAACAATAACAAAATATGCCCGAAAACTGTACTTAGCACAGCAGTATAACTCAATAGGAAGGTTCGACATTTTTCGTATTTCTCTTATTTTAATTAAAATCGAGGGATTTTGTTATTAAAAAACGGTCAAAGAAATTTGAGTGCAAAATATAATATTTACGTCGACGGAAAGCATTTTAAAATCTAGGATCGACGCAAGGCTAGAAAACGTACCTGTACGCGAGACTAGACCGCGTGACGTCAGTAGCCAGACACGTGCTGAGGCCTTCAAAGAGTACTTGTATCTTGTATTGTTTTGTATACGGAGTGAAGAGTATACGAATACGAATTTATATAAACTGGGACCGACGTTTGTCTACTTTATTTATTTGTGCTAGCACAATGCTCCAAGGTTATCAGAAAGCGGATTCACGAAATTCACCCCACGTGAATGTGGAAATGGTGTACGAGTTTTTGGCAAATAATGCAAATTTAAATGAACCTCAGAGCAGCGCTGTTAAAGTAGTTCGGTAAGTACCTATATGAAGTTATTTTTTTTTGTTCAGCTCCAATGTGTAGTATTTTTTTGTATTTCTCCGCAAAAATTGATCCTGCTTTGCTTTAGTGTACTGAAAGCTAATAATATTAAGACATAATAATGTCTGCTCGTGACAATGATTTTGAAGGCTATTTATCTCTGCTTTTTTCTTCCTAGGTAAAATATTATGGAATATAAATTATCATAAATACTTTTTTACCTAGTTACGCCTCTTAAGAGCCCCGAAATTGTTTTTTTTGCATGCATCATGAGGCTCTATTACACTATCCTGAAGTAAAGTACGGTGTACCTAATATGTTTTCAATGAGATAAATTCCAGTGATGTAGAGACAATCTTATTTTTTTAGGGTCTATAAGGGAATACTTAAATTAGGGGGGGGCAGTCACATTATAGAATTTTATTGCTACTAAAATAACAAAGTTTAGGGCTACAATCCGGTTATCTGTAATGAAGCCAGGTTCTAAACGTTGACTAATATTCCGCTTAGAATGACTACCCATAATAACAATTTGATTTAGATCTGGATTACGGAGACTCTGCAGTTGGTTATGTTCAAGTGTCATGTCACATACCTGAAAATATTTGGCGATGTCTTTCTGCCTTGCCCTTTTTTCGCTGAACACTCGTTTCGTAGAGCTTAATTGTCTACCCAGTTGACATGCAAATTTATGAGGTGCAATATCAGGATTCATACGGGCTCGAACGGTACTCATCTTGTATTGTAGATAGTTTTCCATATCTTTTTCCAGGTCAAAATATCTTCGCAGCAGTACATGATCGACGTGGAAGAAACTGATTTTAAATCCCGTCGAACTGCGTCAAACCACTTTTTACGTTGTGCGACAGCTTTTGGAATACTCACAAATTTTTTTTGTGGTGTTGTACTTGACGTACTTGTACATTTTGGCACAAAACATCACTTTCTGTTCGACATTTAATACCGTCAAAGTTCACAGAATTTAACAATAATCTGTCGTACCAGCTTTAACTTCTCCAAACCGATTACTGCGGCCTTGTTGTAAATGCAGCGCGCCAGCTAGCGAGGTGTGTCTGGCTACACACGCCACGCGGTCTAGTCTCGCGCACAGGTACGTTTTCCAGCCTCGCGCCAATCCTTGATTTTGAAATGCTTTTAGTGCACGTAAATATCAATATTTTTTGCTCAATTTTTTTATCGTTTTTTAATAACAAAGTCTCTCGATTTGAGTAAAAATAAAACAATGGCGAACCTTCCTATTGTACTTCTCGCTGTTTATTGTGTCACCTAGAAAAATACGGACGGTGTTTAAACTGAATTATATCGACGAGAATCACTTGATATTATTTATACAACGGATTAAACTCGTAGCTTTAGGTGAAAGTGTATGCCGAATATACAAGATGATTCAAATAGAATATGGATATGTGTCATTTATAAATATGTTACCGGTCGTTAATCCTTACTCTTCAGCCCATTTATGCCTTTATGCTTTTAACAAATTAACCTATGTTGATCTCAATACAGCGGCCACGGGAATTATCCTCTATCATTGGTTGTCCATTGATTTTTAATTCTACTTAAAACCTACACTAAATCTCTAATTCTGCCTGGTCGTAAATCAAATTTTGTACATTTATTTCCGACGAGGTAAGTGTTTATATACGGCGCATTAGAGTTCGCAATGCTTCCAGGATTTGCATGTTATTTTACGCCGCGGCCCATAGGCCCATGTTGTTGATATTCTTATTTTAACGTCTCTGCATTCACGTTAATAAGCAAGTAACTTTGGGCATGGTTGATATAAAGGCGAACACTGAAAAATATTAACAGTATTCATAATAACAAATAAACTTATGAATAAAAACTACAACAAAACAGATATTATTAAGACCTGGAGCCTGATGTTAAAGCCTTTACTTTCCTAATCTCAGCAATACGATTGTTATATTTTTCAACCTTAGACATTTGTTTAATCATCGCGATAAGATTAGAGTATAATATGACATTAATTCTTAGCTAAACTACCAGTGCCCCTATTTTTCAACGTATCTGTTGCAAAGACTTGCTACAGTGATAAGGAGTGTAGCCAGGACAGCTTTTCCATGTGTATCATCTATTCCATAAGACATAGCTAAATCATACAATGCTTTTTGATCTTTAGGATAGGATGATCAAAATGGCAACTCTTATTAAAAGAACTTTATATGCTGTGTGTGTCCAACCATGGCAGTGTACCTACCTACGACGCATTTCACCATGAGGCAAGGGTCATGTTTGCTTTATCATCGAAATTAAAAATTAGGCACTGAACTTTTTGAGAAGTATTGAAGGATTTGTTACTCATATAATACATTGTAAAATATATGATAAACCATCACTGGTGTACAAAAAATCAATCCAAATAATTTAGTTTCGGTAACGCCAACTGACTATTTTTTATCATCACAATATTCGGATATGTTGAGACTTGTGCAAAATCGAATATGTGCCACTATGCTAAACCTCCCCCTTTTATTGAGTTTTGCGCCGAAATACGGCTGTCAACGATAGACGTATAGATAACTGTAGGCCTCTGAATATCCCATTCTCAAACAGCACAATGCACCCGAAAGAGACATCGAACTGGAAGTATTAATCATTGGGAACATTAAAACCTGAATACCTGTCCACACATTCTAAATATTTGCGAAGAAGGCATTTCCCGTTGCCTCTCCACCGCCACATTCAATTGTTCTCATCGTGGCCAACTTGATATATTGCCCGGTATTCGAATTCGCCTTTGTATTCCTTCCGTCATGGCTTTTAGGTCTGGCCAGTGCGGCGTGTATTTTAAGGATTATACCGCGGATTCCAGATATAAAGCAGAGGGATTTCTGATCTGACGTATAAAGTGTGGATTGCAGGATTTTTTGTACCTGACGAGGCTATCATTCAGAGCAGGTAAACATTATAATGAAAGAAATATGGATTTCTTAGATTAGAAGAGAAGTTTACTTTCATTTCACGCAGAATTTTGCAGCTATAGTAATTTGCTTTTCTAAGACCCTCCAATGTATGCGCACAAGCGTTCCCCAAAGGTTCTAAACATGCATCATATGTACATTATACAGGTTGTTTCTTAAACATGAAGCGAACATTCGAATGTTGATGTTTGGATTATGTAGAGACTGTTTTCCTTTCCCCGAATCCGAAAAACTACATAGCTCCGAAGATGGAAGACGAATGAATGAAAACATATGGCCGAAGTCGCAGTATCCAACACATCAACATTTTCTTTATAGATTGCCGAACGAAGCAAACCAGCATTTCTCACAAAGATCACAAAATAGTTTTAGGGGCATATGTCTTACGGATAATTTAACGACCACAAAAACTTTTTCCGAAAATGATCGGGATCGACTGAAACAACAAAAAACGAATTTTGAGCAATATTTATTTGTTTCAGCTTCTGGCCTTTTTCTGCACTGTGATTGGAACGATTTTCTAAAACTATAAGCATTTACATCCTTCGCATTGTAGTAACATTTCATCGAAATCCGAGCCATACTTCTCAAGTTATCGGCGGTTATAGAATTAGCGGACACACCGACAGATAGACACTCCAACGGACAGTGGCGCTCACAGGATTTCAGTCTAGGAGCGGTAAAATGGAAAGTAAATTCTCAGTTTGACGCACTGAAGTGTTATAATGATTTAACATTAAAAGCAAGGACATATGCAGACATATGAATTTGTTACAGTGATTTCTGTAGAAAATACATACATATTTTTCAAATTTTGAATCATACGAAATCAAAGTGTAAATAAAGCAAACCAAGATCGAGCAATCTTCTTATATTAAAACAAAAATGCAAAATAATATAATCTATCACAGACTTTTCTACATAACATAGTCAGACAAAACAACAAAAAATACATCTTCATGAAAAAAATAACATTAACAAATATGGTACGACTTCTATAAAGTATAAAACTGAATGTAAATCAAATAAATTTCTTAACCATGAGAAAAACAAAAAAT